TTGAGGCTCATACATAATTGTTGACCATGATTGGTTGAGCAATTTTCCTCGTCATGATCTAGTGTTCGTGTCCGTGCTCTGTGGAGACCAGTCAATCTATCTTTATATATATATATATATATATATATATATATATATATATATATATATATATATATATATATATATATATATATATATATATATATATATATATATACAGGGTATATATATATATATTTTTTTTTACACCTTGCTGATTCATTTCTCATGGTTGTCAACATAAAGATTTCGAAAATACTGTCTCAAGCTTTGAAATCCACCACAGGTACAGAGACAAATATCTCATTATTCTTAGTTCAGTCGACTGAAGAGGGGCAGAACATCGCTGAATATGATTACAGAGTGAGTCTGTGGTTAAATAAACACAAGTACAGTACTGAGTTGTGTCGCGTTGTAACACCAGGAGAGTTCCGGCTGTGTGAAGCAGTCATGGTGTCACTCAAGTGCCGGCACGTACACACAAAAACACACACATATACACATACACACACACTTTCTTCCTCTCTCTCACGAATATCCACACAAATGTCGCTAGTTAGCTAATAGGAAGTTTACTTAGAATATTTAGCATACCATTCATCTATTTGTATGTGTTATATTTGATACAAATTTGTGAGTACATATTACGATGGGTTATGCAGAGGCAACCTAACATCAGGCTACAAGGACCACCACACACACTGCTGCACCGTAACTCAAGTGTTCTACACACACACATACTCATCTCAGATAATGGCGCCTCGAGCAAATAATTAACTAGTTACCAAAGTGCAGAAGACTAGCAGGACTGAACAACTCTTCAGGTGACATTTGGGTTCATGCCTTCCTAATAGGTCAGTGGACGCCAGACGTGACCACAATAGTTAAAGGGTTATTAATATTACTCTGTCCATAATTTCAAGCTCGCTGCATCAACTGGACGCGCATAAATTCATGAATGTTAATCAAAGTGAAGACGTATAAAGCAAGCTGGCAATACATGAGTCAGGTTGACGAGGTATCAGTCAATCAAGGAACCAACAGCATCTTCCATGGGTCGTGCGCCTCAGGTGTGTTTGGGTTGGTGGAAGAGTCGCACACCTGTTGATAAACACAGCTCTCGCTTGCTGACCAATCATCTTCTCGACCTGGCGTTTACCTGGATGACCTCAAGGAGGCAACACAGAGACTATGTCAACATTATGTCTAGATCGCCGCGTACCACTATGTTTATATCACGTACCACTCAGTTAATGCAGCGTACCACTGTGTCTTTACTGCATACTACTGACTTTATACCGCGTACCACTGAGTACATACCGCATACCACTGTGTTTATACCGCGTACCACTGTGTTTATGCCGCGTACCACTGTGTTTATGCCGCATACCACTGTGTTTATACCGCGTACCACTGTGTTTATACCGCGTAACAACGTCAACTAAGTACAGTACACATATGGTGACGACCGATACGTGATAATGACTGATGGCAGAACGTTAACGATGAAAGTCATGCAAAGAAAATTTGGATGATAGTTTATGTAGATGAAACTTTTGATTAGCTACACAATAGTTATCGTTTAAGAGTCAAATGAACAGCTCAATTTAGACTCTGAAAGCTTATGGTGTATGTGTGTGTGCGTGTGTGCGTCCCTGCAGCCAAGTAATCATTGCCTGATCGCATTTCTACATGGGGATATTATGCCTGAGATAGGATAGGTTAGGATACATTACGTTAAGTTAGTGACGTACAGCTGTAGTTCACTGGGTGTATTGATGAACATTATCTTTAGACTAGTGTGCTATACGACGCGACGGTCCTATACGATACGGACGACCCGACGTCAACCCTCCGACCACCTCATCTGTTTTCAATAAAATCAATCACTCAACCATTTAATCAATCAACGGCATCTACCAATCAATCTGGGTACAGGGTGAAGAGATGGGTAAGGGAGGTGAGGTGGGAGGGGAAGGGAGGGAAGAGGTGGAAGGGAAAGAGAATGAGGAGATGGTGGGGGGGGGGAAGAAAAGGAAGGGAAGGGGAGGAAGAACTCTTGAACCTGAAATGAACTAACGTGTCTCTTATTTCTCCCATCTCATCTACTTATACACTGCATATTGTATAGTTTTTCTGTAGAGTATTTGAAGCTCTCTCTCTCTCTCTCCTCTCTCCTCTCTCTCTCTCTCTCTCTCTCTCTCTCCCACCCCGTAACCTCCACTAGTGCCCCCCATGAGATAAGTGTGGCAGGTACCCCTACTACCCCAGTGTGTGTCCGTGGGAGGTGTCAGGTGACGGATCAGTATCACTACACTCCACACACATAACTGTTGGTCACACTCACGGCTCACCCCACCCCCCCCCCCCACACACACACGCTTATAGGGGTCACTCACTACCACACACAGTCACGTCACCACTAACCCTTGACACGTAGCCACATAGTCGTCTCTACACATCCAGATGGAAGACACAACTAATATTACCTTGCTAGCGAGACGATTAAGTGTATTTTGGTATCATTATTGAACATTAAGCCTATACACTTTTATTGTGGGGGACTGTAGTTTACGCAGGATTTTAGCCACAAGGGTCACAAATCGTCAATTCTACGATAGTTTCCCCACATTCCCTCACACTTCCCTCCCCTTCTCCCTCCCTCGCTATAACACTGCCTCACATCACCTCCCTCATTGTTTACTAATTTTTCCACTCCAATGGTCACCCCCACCTGAAGTACAATCATCTCCCTCTTCCCCTTCTTCTGTACACACACACACACACACACACACACACACACACACACACACACACACTCTCCCTCTCTCTCTCCCGCCACCACAAGGCAGTGCTCTCTACCTTGAGTTTCAGTACTACATAATGTTACGAACGCATCAAGAATTTATTTATGTAAACCGGAACTAAGATGATAATTATTGTTACCGGTACATGTGTTAATTATAGCCTTCTTTACTCCTACGAACATATCCTTTTAATATCATGCTCGTGATACATGATACACTGGTGGTTATTTAAAGTTAGCCGTTGGAATTAGTTTTTCCTAGTAGAAATGACAGCTAAAGTTGTTTGCTTCATCTAATCCTTCTGGAACAATATCTATTCTCCGGATACTTCAATAGGGATGTACATTGATGTTAGGGCATATAAGGAAGCACGTGGAAGTAGACAATAGTAATCCATAGTGAACCAAACATAACGCAATTACTCCGTGCACCAACATTACCAAAACGCACACACAAGATTCATCCTCCTTTTTGTGAACTGAACAGGAGCATCCAGCACACACATTCTCCTGGATAACCGACACGGCAGGAACACTGAACGCATATCCCCCGAGGCAGTGAACGCAGTTATGTCCCGCTAATGAAAGCTGATAACTGGCAGGGTGTCGGGTTACTGGTGTGTTGTGGAGCACGGTGGGGCGTGTACCGGGCCATATACCACGCCACGCCATTGTTGCCTCTGCTAGGCCTACAACAACCACACCAAGATGGCTGTCTGATGCATACAGTCATCACAACTACACAATGCACGGAAAAAGCTTTTCTTTTCACTGATTTGGTCATCACGAACCTGGCCATCATAAGAGCTGTACTCTGGTCAACATGCACAGGGAAAACTGCAATATATCCTTTCCTTACACTAATTTTGACTGTTTTACTAAACGTTAAATCACGAGAAAAAAGATATATCTATATTTTCTTTACTACACTTGGGATACTATTCTGTTCTATTAAGTGCTGTATTAGTGTTTCACTTCAGTCAACCCTGCAGGTCGCTATCAACAACATGTCTCGTGTGTCTGTGTCGTTACACTGAGCTATATATATGGTCATCTGTGACAAAACTACAAAATCCTATTCTAAAATATATGACTTTCGGCTTCATTGATTCCAGTTATATATCAATAATTTCTAATATAAAATACCCAAAACTGACTGATAACAAGTTGACGTTTTACTTTATAATGAAAAATAGAATCTGTTATTTTTTGGCGAGCTCAGCCGCGTGTATAAGATTCAAGTACAATAATCAGATAACGTAAAGGCACCCCCGTTTATCTCACGCGATTAAAACACCCTAACGCTAACCTAGCCTGATGTTACCGCCAGGAAGCATTAACGAATGTATTCATCAGGTGAAATAAATGGGGGGCATAATCTTCAAGTAATCCGAATAATCATCAAAATAAAAATATTTGTGGGTAGTAAATTCTCGGCCTTACAACAATCCACTTGAAATTTTTACCTTTTATGTCATTATCTCTTCCAAACACATTACTGTTCGACATTTGGTCTGCTATATTATACTAAAATTATCGTAATTAATTGAGCAAATCTTGTTTACATTATCAGGGTGGAAAACACGCTGTTGCTGACATTATTACAGCTAGAATCCATCGACTTGGTTTATTTCCATTATTTTATCTCTCTTTTTGAAGGGGAGTGGGGAGGGGGGACACTATGAACACGACACCCTTCCTACAACACGTATCACACGTAGTTTCTGGTAAGATTTCATTTTACTACGAAATCTTTTCAAACACATAACACAGACGAGCTATTTCTGATCCCACATTATTTCCTCACGTACATAATTTCACACATATTAACAGCGACTTCAACAAAGAGACAATATTGCCTTAGTTTATTATTTACTTTATGGTGTTTACATAACAGACGGCAAACATGATGATAAGAGACCGAGAATTCAGTTCTTATTCTCTCCATCACTAATTTCCAAGTTGTAAAAGTAATATAGCACAACAGTGTAAGAAATCGGGTACCACAGTCACTGAACGAGTTAGGGAATAGGTCACAATTTCTGTTAACATCTAAATTCCTTTCAACTAATTCCATCTTTTATCATATCTGGAACATCAGTGAATAACAGCATAAACGACACGCAGGAATATGTTAATTTATCTCCCATGACAAGTTAAGAACTCTACTTACCAATAATAAGTCGACTGGTCATCTTCAGCAACGGTATGAGTGTGATCAGGTGAGTGAGTGTTGAGCACCTCCGAGATGATGGTGAGCCGCGCCACGTGTGAGTGTGTGCCCACAACCTGTTCCTGCCCGGGGCGCCTCTCTGCCTCCACCCTACCGACCCCTCACCAGTTACCACTTGTTGCTTCTCTTCTTATCACTTATTACTACCGGAAGCTCATCAGTAGATTTTGAGATCTTGTGTACTGTTCACTTTATTACTTTGGAGATTCGTATCAAATTGAGGTTGTTGTCCTTCTTGTCGTTTATATTAATGAGCAATATCCTTGGGTGTGTGGCAGCCTCAAGCATGGCAACCTGAGGTGCGGGCATACCGTCACAACCGTTTGATTTATATTCTATATTGGTGATGTAATCTTAGCTGAGTTTCATGCATCTTCACATAATGTCTCACCTGGTGACACCCTATCCTGCTTCTGTATTTCGAAAGATAGTCCTAGATACCTGGCAAGTCCTGATCTTAGTGTTGCATAATTGCTAAGGACTCATTGGTGGTTACGCTCATTACAGGGCGCAGGTAGGCGTTGCATGCGCTCCAGCAGGAGACGAAGACTAATCAGATTTCACCATCTTTGAAATTCCTGAAGCAAATATGTACGGTGCAATGGAAGTTCTGTACAACTTGGGAATTTCTTACAAGAGACATAATCATTAGTACAAAAAAAGTCTTGTTTGTCATCCTTCAGCCTTTGGTGTGTTTGTGGCAGCACATCCGTAGTCATCTTCCGGGAGTATAAGCAAGACTGATTACCGCCGGAAGACGTGTAGTCATCATAGTGGTTCCAACAACCAGCGGAAGTTGTCACTATCAGACAATGAGTGGGCTCTTGTGACCTTTCATGCCTTCACGTGTTTTTTTTTTAAGATATTAATAAATAAATCATAGTCGCGGTTAGGTTAGGTTAGGTTTGGTTAGTTTGGGCCGGGTTAGGTTAGGTTAGTTTGGGTTGGGTTAGGTTAGGATTTTTATTGTTTGTCTTTATGGATCGTACGGAAATAACCAACCCCAATTTAATTCAGCTTATCAATAAACACGAACACTAATCTAACCCAAGATAACCTAACCTCACCTAACCTACCCCCCCCCCCCTTCCAGGTGGCGTGGAGTAAGCAGGGGTGCTAATCTTCTGACAATCTTCCTTTCTATGTTAATTTCTAAACCTCTTGTTGCCAATCCTCTTCTGTTTAGTTTTCAGCTGAAACTAATATAAAGCTAAAACTTCATTGGGTAATTGTATTAAATTTTAAATAAACGAATTTTGGTGGTTTATATAACTAAGAACTATGGCGCATCACAGGGGATATTTTGTAATAATGTTATGACTAAATTTACTATAAAAAATGGTTTCATAATATAATTCACTAACACATAATTCGCCTTATCATTTACATAGTTTTTTCTTTTATTGTGGTGTAATATCAACTATGAGAACTGGTGTATTAGCAAAGCATAAAATAAACAATAAATGCACACAAGACACGGCACATGCACATACAGTCTAGTTTCTTGACGTCCAACTAATGCTTGAACCTATAGTTAAACACAATATTATTACCAACATAAAGACAGGACCTTGGCGAGCTGCGGTTTGAGAGCCTCAGGTAACTATACTGTATTATTAACATCAACTAGACAGCTATCACATGATCACTGGCCCACTCACACGTATGGTATGTCAAGTAGTGCGTACATAAACAAGTCGTCGGAATTAATTACCAAATAAATATCTTAACACGACCCGAAAGGTTCTAACCATAAATCTCAAAAAAAATTTAACCCAGCGGATTTGTTTGATTATATATGGAAAAATTAATAATTATATAACAAGTTCCTTTCTCAGAAATTTGTATGTCATTATTTATTTATTTATTTATTTACTTATTATTATTTTTTTGTTAATACTGACGACAGAAGAAGCTGTTAGTCTTAGTCAGATATACTAAATAAGGGGACCAAAGTGTGAACAAAAAACTTACGACCCATTTTAACTTTTGTTCCATGTAGCACGGAACACACACACACACACACACACTCCCTGTCCCTCCCTCCCTCCTCACACACTCAGGCACAGAGCCACTCCTTGTAAGAGGCAGGCACTCGTAGGAATCTAGATGTTCATACAGCCGTAGTTAATTTTTTTCTCTTAACTTGGGATAAGAGAACCCTACTAGTTATGATATAGTCTCTGTGCATTAACAGCCCCATTTCAAATCCCATATTTCTGCTTAAGTTTAATCGAGCTTGTTAGATGACGTTATTAGTCAGGGTGAATTTAATATACAAATCTTGAAAAATTCCGGTTCAGGTGATGTGTTGGCCCCTAGGTGATGTGTTGGCCCCCAGGTGATGTGTTGGCCCCCAGGTGATGTGTTGGCCCCCGACTCTCGTAAGTGTGGTGTAGCAGCTGTTGTTGGTAAATATAAACACAGGCCTGACCCTCGCCTGCCTTCTTCCCCGTCATAACAGCCATTACTCACGTTTTCTTTCATTAGTCAAACTTTTCTTTGGTGTTCAACCTATGACTTAAGAATTCTAGCTGACAGACGTTCAATACAAGTGAAATTTTACTAATCGATACAAAAACGTCTTAATGCGAACTAAAGGCTTAAATAAGCTTCTCCGGGTTTTTGCTGCTACTCAGTTCAACGATGTAAAACAAATAATTTCAGTAAGTTTCGGAACGTAACAGTTAATGGAAGGTTCACTCACGCCCCTGACAGCCGTGAAGGTAAGGAGAGAGGAGGCTATTGTACGGTGTGTTTGCCCACAGCGTCTCCTCTGACTCCAATAACAATAAACTACTCCACTGGGCAAGTCACACCTACACTATGGTAATTCACAGTGAGGCCAAAATGTTTACTGACGAAGAACTGTAAAACCTATCACACACAAATGGAACACTGAAGGGGACAAACGTTTACTAGAAAAACAAAACAAAAACGATCTTTGATGAATTGTGGAAGAAACGTTTGGATTACAGATTATGGAGAGAACATTTATTGTTGATAATAATGAATAGAAGGCATTGTTGCACCAAGTAGTGACGGAAAACACTTCGCAAAGAATTAGGAAAACAAATATATAATAGTGGATAAAATTCAATAAAAATTAACACAATTTTAAGATCACTCTACAGAACAAAGTAATTAAATTCTAAGTGACAATTGAACCAAAATGAAGGTCACGGATGTTCAACACAGTGGAGCCTCGGGGTGTGTGTGTGTGTGTGTGTGTGTAGTAAATGAGCATAAGAATTTTTACTTCTTGGGCGTAAACTTATTAGGAGAATTTTACTATTTTTTTACATAATTTTTTGTTACAGCAGAAACAGGTGGTGGACGTTACAGAACAAGAATATAAACTTACTGTATTAGGACTCACGGTAAAAATATATCAATATTATCTGTGGAAGATAATTTATATATTGTACCACGAACTAAACTGATCTAACCTGACGAATTACAGATATTTTTTAGTTTGTTTGGTTGCGTTAAGTTAGTTTGGTTGCGTTAAGTTAGTTTGGTTACGTTAAGTTAGTTAGTTTGGTTGAGTTAAGTTAATTAGGTTTGTTGGGTCAAGTTATGTTAGGTTAGTTAGGTTAAGTTTAGTTTGGGTCATGTCATCTTTCATAAATGATTAAGTCTCACAGCTGCCATTTATAAATCAGCTGAGTGTTGTATTTCTCGTCTGGAAACTAAACACAGGATGACAGGTTACATCACAATCATGTTTTCTATAACGAGTCTGAAAAGTAAATGGCAACAAACATCTTTAAATAAGTCCGCCCCTAAAATATATACAGTAACATAACCAGGGCTCAGTGATCTGTAATAACGCGCTTCATTCCTTACATAACTACAGTATAATCATTAAGCAATTCTACATAATTAAATTCTCTGTAAGACCATTCTACCTATAATTCAATAATATCTATAACAATAAATCACAATTCTGAATATCCAATATAGCCATAAGTCGGGGGCCGTCACTCCTATGTTCAGTAAGTTTCAGGAATCGACCGCCGGTTTTAACACATCTGAATCTTGAGACTTGTCCAACTCCTCGAAACTCTCGAAGAGTCGGAACTCTGGATGGTCCTTGGCGTAAACATTCTTAATAAAATCTCGAAAGAGCTGAAGCCCGATGGATGTCTTCAGCTCCTCCAGTTTGTTCCTGTGGATTTCTTCCTCCGTTTCTTCTACGGCTGGCTCCCCGTGAGATCCTTTCTTCTTCTTCTTTTTCTTTTTCTTCTTCTGGCTTCGTTGAGTCACAAGACCACTCTCCTCGGTGTCGGGCATGACCTCCCCCTCCACCTCCTCAGAGAAACCAACTTGCTGCTCGCTGGTATCTTTACGGTCTTCTACGTGTATGTAACTTTTCTCGCCTTCGTCATTTTGGTCTCTGGAGACTCTTCTGGTGTGGACATTCGGGTCCTCAGGTTGATCCTGGAGGTCAAAGTCGTCGTCGGATATTGGCGTTGGAGGTTCCTTACTGCTAGAAGTAGAGGTTGGAGGTTCCTTACTGTTGGACGCTGATGTTGGAGGTTCTTTGCTGTTGGTGAGAGTCCTGGAGGTAGTAGGGACGCTGGACCGGTAGCCTGAGCGTCCCATCGCCCCCTCTCGCCCGTCCTCAGTCGTCTTCCCCCCCTCATCCTCCTCCTCCTAGGGGCAGATAATTACTACGTCGATATGATGCGGTTGTGTGGGTGCGGTAAACACAGACACAGAGACAGAGAAGAAAGTTGGATACACGATTATGTTCAAAAAGAAAAAAGTTAATATTTGATGTTAGGATAAATATTAAAGGAATTGAAAGTCCAATTCTTTATAACATATCAGTGAACTTTACACAATTAACCCTTACACACACATAGTAAACTGAACCTTAGTTTATATGAGAACATTTCCTTGGCCAGTGAAAGGAGGTATTCACAGGTATTTGTTGCTGTCATGCTGCTAGGTTCCACATCCCTTTCATCTAAGACACCACATTTTAAGGTATTATTACAGTAATGAAAACACTTAAGCTGTATTTTTACTTAAACATGTATAGTAGTAATATGCTTATGTAAATTACTAAAAAAACACAATCCTAAGTGAAAAAAATAACGTCGTTGCGTAGTAAAAAGTCAAATGAGACCTGGAAGTGTAGCACCTGGTGGCCGGTATTTTTAAAATGTTGACTATCCCGCGAGATATCAGAACACACTCAGACTGGCTTGTTTAATATACTACACAAAGATATTAACATGGAGACCAACCAAACTATTGTTGAAATTGACCATAGATGCAACTGTCCCTAAATGAGAGAGAGAGAGGGAGAGAGAGAGAGAGAGAGAGAGAGAGAGAGAGAGGGGGGGACATGATATCTGGAAAAAATTAAAAAAAAAACACACACAGAAGATAATATATAAAACAAAACTCAAGAGGACATACCTCCCTACCCTGAAGACCTCACCTCGTCTTTGGGAGAGTCGTCCTCGAGGATGCCTGCCTGGAGGGCCTGATGGTCCCTCCTGCGGGTGCCTTTGTGTTGGAGGAAGAGGAGGTAGGGCGTGGTGTAGGTCTCCTTCTCAGGGTCGTACAGGAGGTCGCCCTCACTCTCCTCGCTCTCTGACCTGACACACGTGGTTGTGGGTTATTAGTCGACCATCTCAAGAAATATTCCCCATGACCATTTATTCTCTCCAGTGTACAGCAGCGCCTCTCTAGCTTGGACCTCCCACTCCTCGGGACGTTCATTGGCAGGAGTAAAGAATACGACCGATTTTACTTTTTGAAGATATTGTTCATTGTTCACCTCGACTCTACCAGACCGGAACAAACGACAACACACAGGATTACGAATAAGAATGACGCGAGTGATGATGAAGTCTTTAATAAAATGGTGATCAGTAATGTGAGAAATATTGCACCAAAACACCGTCACAGTAACGGAGTAATGATGCAAAACAAAATCACAATAACTGCCGTGTTATTATGTGCAGACAGACAGATAGATAGACAGACAGACAGACAGACGGACGGACTTGACGGAGATAACGGAGCCATGTTTACTAATAAGGGAGTCTGATTCTTCTCTTACTCGACCATTCTTATAAGTGTGTCGTTTAGGTTAACTGTGTGGCCTTGTTATCTGGTTTTTGACCTTGTAATGACGAGACGATTGCGTTTGTTTACATGTTGGAGGATGGGAAGAGTTGCCTTAGTTATAGTCCGGGTTAGAGAGACGCTCCTGTATGTGAACAATGAGTGACGTTGATACCTTAGTACAGAGAAGAACTTTTAGTCATAAGGAAAAAATAGACGCTGGGGGGCTGTAGTTTATGACTCCGTTTTACGACTGACAGGAAGAATATCAGTGTTTAGTTACCGTGATATGAGACACGAGAATGAGAAAAGTGTTGCAAAATTTCTTGAATGGTCTTCAGGTAGCCAGGGCGAATATCTGTTATAAAATTAACAGTGTTCTTATGCTATTAAGTTTGATGTATTCTCCACCAATCAGCAATAACCTTCTCCTGACTAAACAGTGTGAAGCTGGTACACCGAGGCCGCGTATGTGAAGGAACAGTTCATAATAGTGAGTGAAGAAATAAAACAATAATAAATCCGTAAGAACTACCAAACGTTGAGAGGTGTTGAAGTATTATAACTGGACCGTAATGGATGACACAAGTTAATAATATATACATGAGACATTAATACATACATCTTCACCGTGTGTGTGTGTGACTCACCCCTGGAAGAGCAGTTCGTCGTCGTCTTCACCCTCAGGCTCCAGCTGGTCCAGGAAGTCCTGTAGGAGACCTCCGGCCGGAGTCCTGCCAGTAGATCAAAGTAACATTCAGGTAACACAGGCCAAGACCACGTGGGGGTCCCTCTCAGGCAGCCATGTGAGGTGGAGGGATCAAACATGGTGTCGACTGAGATACGAGATACAGAAAGCCGTTGTCTAATGGTGCCGCTAGTCAGGTAATATTCCATCTCTGGCTGCAAAAAATGTGTCTGAAGTTGCTAATGAAAGAGGTGGGTGTCCAGACTCGTGAGTGACCAGCAAAGGATTCTCAGTGGACTTTTGTGTGTCCTCAGGAGTGAGAATATCTCTTACACCTATCAACAGTCGTGCCAAGGGTAAGTAATGCACAGATGAAGACCTTCTATTACTTGTATTGTGTTACACCCAGATCAACAAACACCTCTACCACACCTGTCCTCTTCTTGTCCATTGGTTGGCGTTGTCTCCGTGGTCGACTCCTCCCCTTGGTCTCCACCAATAGGAAACGAGAGAACCCGTTCTATCCTGTGACGTAACTCCTCCGAGACCACGCCCTCCATATCCGGCACACTCTGGATATACAAAGTAGAGTTAACAAAACAGTACAGATATAAAGGTACGTTGCTATAAAGAGATGTAAAGGTACTAAAATAAAATAAAGTCAATTATATAATGCTCTTATATGCCTTTCTTCACCAGCAATATATACAGGTATTTTCTTTCAGTAATTTAGAGATTTATACCTGTGAGTTTCGGCGTTAAGTTAAACATATGTTACTGAAGGTGTGATAGTTATAGTCCTCAACACTTTATAACACTCACTGTACTTAAAAATATATACTCCAGACGTCACACGCTGGCATACGTACAGGCACTTACACTCCTATACAAACACAAACACGTACACAAGCACACAAACACACCTACAGTATGTATAAACACTTCAACACACGCACGTACCTTCCGTATCTCTCGTGTTTATGGTGAGGAATTGAAGGAGAGAGAACCTCCTCCCTCCCTGCCTCTAACTCGCTCTCCTCCCTACCTCTCCTTCCCTCCCTTCTCCCTCCTTCCTGCCTCTACCACCCTGCCTCTCCCTATCTCCCTCATCTCTACCTTTCCCTCCCTGCCTTCCTCTGCTTCTTAAATGCCTCTTCCTCTCTCTCAGCCTCTTCCCTTGTCTCAAACTCCTTCCCTCCTCCTTGCCTGTACCTCTCTCCCGCTTTTCTGCCTCTCCCTCCCTCCCCCCTGCCTCTCCCTCCCTCTCCCTCCCTCCCCCCTGCCTCTCCATCTCCTGTACTCACATAATCTCCCACATGGTGTAGCTGTAAGGACCAGGGGTGTGCACGCTGCCAGCCGCGGGTGTAGGGAGGAGGGCGTGGAGGCGTACGGGAGGGGAAGGTCCACCTGGCCACGCCCTCACGGATAACCCTGGCCTTAACACGCCCACGTCCTGGCACTACGCCCTCGTCAGTGTCCAGGGAGTGACGGTGGGCGGTGTGGCGACTGAAAGATAATTGAATGAAAAATGTAATTCATAGTTTCAATGGATATAGTAGCGCTTACAGTTTTCGGGTTTATAAGTAACACGTAATAGGAAAAATAAAATAAAACAAATACTGTACACACATAACCCAAGTAAATTTGTATTATAATGGTATTGAATAGTCTTCATGTTGTGTTTTATATCAATATGTCGTACAAATTTTACGTTACGAATCCAATTATACGTACTATATACTGTATACTGATTATATCACTAAAGAGGACACTATAAAAGTTTACTGAATATTACCGTAGTTAACCTGAAAATGGAAAGCTTCTTATAAAAGATAAGGAAAATGGTAACACTTTATATATTCCGAGAAGAGTCAAAGAAAATGTATAAATCCAAAAGTTTCAAGGGGTAACTATAATGACTTTACTGTGGTGAGATGAGGAACTTAGGGGGGGGGGAGAGGAGGGGCATCACTATGACAAGCCAATGACCGATAATGACAATGATTGAGCGAACTTAAGCAGTTGAAAAGTGACTCCTAACTCTGCATTCATTTGTTATCGTGTGATCCATGTAAACAAAAACAAAAGCATAATTTATTTACTATGTTAACCATCACGATGTCAACAGAAAAGCCGTAATGAAGCTTTGCATTGATTTCTTAAGGTGAATAAGACTTAGAGGTTAATTGCTTCATCATTAATTAGTTAATTATTAGGCGTAAGACTTTTTCAAGGCAGAATACCGTACCTACAGGTTCGGTGTTTACTGGGAAGTAATGACCAAACTAAGGCGATTATTCCTAAAAACTAAGGCATTAAATGCGTCCAAAAATATTAAAACTAAATATATAAAGATATGCGCACGGATGCCAATACAGTGAACCACTAGTTTAAATATGGCAAATACATTACCACCTACCTTCCGTACCAGAGTTCTCGCGAGTTGGTTATCGCATAAGGAAACTCACCATAATAGCTCCTAGCGTCTAGTTAAATACACCATTTACCTTTTACACCTCCTACACTCCATGCTGTTGTCCGGCCTCTGTGACACTGAACGTGACCGCGCCTTCCCCTCCGCCATGTTGTTGTGTACACGTTGCTAGGCAACGCTCTTAGGGAGGTGACGTCAGTGTCAAGTGAAACACGCGACGCGTATTATAAGGGATTAAATTGACCTTTTCATTCAAACAAAAACAAAATAATTTCATATGAATTGACGAGAAAATCGTATGAAAGATATATATATATATATATATATATATATATATATATATATATATATATATATATATATATATATATATATATATATATATATATATATATATATATAATTTATATACAGATATATAGATAGATAGATAAGACAGCTGGGTGAAGATTCTCTAAATTATTTAAGACAGTGCATGGAAACTACCTCGTCTTAGGTCAAGCAACCCAGAATTGAAGTACAGGTGTGTTCACTACCTGCTGGCTGATACGTCTAGACCTGAAGGTGTTTCCTTGAGTTATTGTAAGTTTATCAATATAGTTTTTACAATTGGTCTTCACGGATAATAATAATACGTTCTATTAATGAAATTTTTAATCTTTTCGCATCTTTGCAATAGTAATGTATTATTTCTAAGCCTAAGAATTTGTTTTCAACAATTTGGTAAGATTTTCCGTTTTCTGAGATCAAGAGAGTCAGGTGTGGGAGATATAGAACGTGTACAATTAACTATCATTATCCTTATGAAGTGAAATAAAAAAAACGTCTAATTAGGTCCCTGTAGAGCCCCACACACTCACATCACTATCCTTGTGTCCTGGCTCATGTTAAGTCCATTCTCACGCCACGAATACCATGAAAAAAATCACCCTTTGGATTTTTGAGGCTGGAGTGAGTGCGTGGCGCCTGTGTCAAGTGAACCAGCACCGCCACCCTCAACCACTCTCCCATATCGCCTGGACAGCTGAGACGCTCGGCAAGAAGCACAGTAAGTGAGTGATAAGGTTCTCTAGCAACATAAGTACCGACTCACCCTCACACAATCTCAGTCTTGACAAGAAAGACAAAAATGTGACGCCCCCAGTCTCTTGTTACAACCATCCCACATTATTCCCCCCAGGACGAACAACAATACCGTCAAAACAAATACCATAAAACTACAAATATCTCCCCCAAATATGTACACAAACTTAATATTATAAAGTTAACGTAGATTATATAAATATAAATTACACATAGGATAAAATAATTATATTAGAAATATTCGTACTAATTTCTTCTGTGAAAATAATGAGAGTACAGTAAGTCGTTCATCATCCTGGTAAAGCCATAAGACAGCAATATGAGGTGGGCGGGGCTTAAGAGCTGACGTGACAGATGTACGACACATGTCAGGAAGTGTTTCGAACATCTGTGGTCTGAGGGACATTCCAGCTACGTTATTTCCCCTTTAAGTTATATAAAATATTAATTTTGCCTCGTCAAAACAAGACAATAATTTCATCTTACAAGTGATTTTACACAATACTTTACATCTTTCAAGTTACTTAACGCAATACTTTACAACTTCAAATCACTTAACACAATACCCAAATGAAGACAAATCAATACTTTAACCCTTCAAGGCACTACACAATAATAATAACAATCTCTATCTATCTCTCCTTCCCCTCTTTCTCTCTCTTTCTCTCTCTCACTTTCTATCTAGCCCTACCTCTCTCTCTCTCTCTCAACATCCACACCAAACCTTCCTCAAGACGTCTAGTCATTGTCTCCATCATACGGATCCTTCCTCAGCTCACTATACCTGTTGACACCCACCATCGTGAACCTATCAGAAGGTGTGTGTTGTGTTGGTCAATATTCCATCAGAACTTTTACTTACTAAAATGTATTTCTACCCCCAGATAAAAAGAACAGACAAAATCCTTTATACCCCAGACAAAACTACTCTATACCCCTGACAATGCTACTCTATACCCCAGACAAAACTACTCTATACCCCAGACAAAACTACTCTATACCCCTGACAATGCTTCTCTATACCCCTGACAAAACTACTCGATACCCCTGACAAAACTACTCGATACCCCTGACAAAACTACTCTATACCCCAGACAAAACTACTCTATACCCCTTGACAAACTACTTCCATGCAAATTTCTGACAAACCATTTATACCCCAGACAAAACTACTCTATACCCCTGACAATGCTACTCTATACCCCAGACAAAACTACTCTATACCCCAGACAAAACTACTCTATACCCCTGACAATGCTTCTCTATACCCCTGACAAAACTACTCGATACCCCTGACAAAACTACTCGATACCCCTGACAAAACTACTCTATACCCCTGACAAAATTACTCTATACCCCGGACAAAACTACTCTATACCCCGGAAAAAACTACTCTATACGCCAGACAAAACTAGTTTCTACCCCGGCCTACATCTCTTTGTAAGACTCCCTGCCCCAGTAAGGTTTTCCTCCCTCACACAGCGTCTTAATAGGCCCAAACATCCTGCCTCACCTGTCCCTGTGTTTACATTTAACCAACACACTTTTTAGTCACTACCTGTGTTACTTATTGAATCAGAGCGGTTATTTTATCCTTTCTCTCTCTCACATGCACACACACACACACACAGTCAGACAGTTACCACACACACACACACACACACACACACACACAGTCAGACAGTTACCACACACACACACAGAAGGGGTTCCAACACACCTATGTTACCATAACGTTCTTTCTACTCCTGCGGAAAAAGTGGTGAACATCCTCCCCCCAGGGTGGTGTGTGTTACAGCCCGCCCACACCACATGGTGGGCGGGGGTGGGTGTGTGTGTGTGAGATTTGTTTCAGATTTGCCCCCACGCAAGCAAGGGGTAAAGTTTATTTGGCACCTCCTTACACCATATGTATGTGTGTGTGTGTGTGTGTGTGTGTGTGTGTGTGTGTGTGTGTGTGTGTGTGTGCAATCAGCACACACGACATTCAGCTTTGGGTCATTCTGGTCAAATAACTCCTTAATTAAGGTTGTTGCCTGGGAAAAAATGTCTTACCTATTTATATTATATATATATATATATATATATATATATATATATATATATATATATATATATATATATATATATATATATAAATCAATGTGAAGGAAATTTATTAATATCTGCACACTTATATACAAAACATTATTATAAATACTAATTTATAATACTAAGCCCATAGAAACAATTTTAATATATACAATATAATAAATTGCCCTTGCGTCAGCCAGAGAGAATGTTGTACGGCAGCAAGTTGTTCAGCTCATCCATCAAAGAATATACAATTTACTGTACATTTCCTCCTTAATTTTGCATTGTCATTCATTCCATCACAATATTCTTTCACACTTACAGCAACCAAACACATACTGTCTCTCTCACAAAGTTCACTAAAACCAGCCAGTGAGAAGGCGGTATTTAGTAATGTTACACTTGTTGCTTATACATTAACGGAAGCCGGCTTAACTAGGACGGACAGAGAGGGGCATGGTAAGAAGGTTTCCATCACATTTCTGCGTCACGGTGTTGGGAGGTCGTTGCTTCGAATCCCGGGAGTGTTTGGGGTAAGTGGAGGGCAATGTTTGTTTGTTTGGTGAGGTCCAGTGTGTGTGTGTGTGTGTGTGTCCAGCTGGGCGGCCTCTGTGATTCTTGCTGGATACGTGGCAAAGAGATGAAGAGGCTTGAGATGATAGAGAGATAAAGAAAAAAGAGAAGACAAATGAAGAAGAAAGAGAGAGATAGAGAGATGAAAATGAAAAAGAGAGATAAAGATGAATGAAAGAGAGATGAAGAAGAAAGAGAGAGATAAAAGAAAATATATTAACAAGAGATGTAAAAATGTATATAGGAGAAATAGAGAAATATATATATATATATATATATATATATATATATATATATATATATATATATATATATATATATATATATATATATATATATATATATAGAGAGAGAGAGAGAGAGAGAGAGAGAGAGAGAGAGAGAGAGAGAGAGAGAGAGAAGATGAGATAAAGACTAGGGAGAACCATGTACAGGTGCGGTGTGTCAGTGGTTGAGGCTGCCTACTAGATCCGGGAGGTCCTGGCGCTCTTATAGTACAGGTTAGGGTATTAGGCAGGTCCTCCCTCATACCCTGGGTACTGTGGAGGTCCTACCTCATGCCCTGGGTACTGTGGAGGTCCTACCTCATGCCCTGGGTACTGTGGAGGTCCTACCTCATGCCCTGGGTACTGTGGAGGTCCTACCTCATGCCCTGGCTACTGTGGAGGTCCTACCTCATGCCCTGGGTACTGTGGAGGTCCTACCTCATGCCCTGGGTACTGTGGAGGTCCTCTCTCATACCCTGGGTACTGGGCAGGTCCTCTCTCAAACCCTGCGTACTTTGGAAGTCCTCTCTCATTCCCTCTCTCATTACCCTGGGTACTGGGCAGGTCCTCTCTCATACCCTGGGTGCTGTGGAGGTCCTCCCTCATACCCTGTGTACTGTGGAGGTCCTCCCTCATACCCTGGGTACTGTGGAGGTCCTCCCTCATGCCCTGGGTACTGGGCAGGCCCTCTCTCATACCCTGGGTACTGTGGAGGTCCTCTCTCATACCCTGGGTACTGTGGAGGTCCTCCTTCATACCCTGGGTACTGTGGAGGTCTTCTCTCATACCCTGGGTACTGTGGAGGTCCTCCTTCATACCCTGGGTACTGGGCAGGTCCTCTCTCATACCCTGGGTACTGTGGAGGTCCTCCCTCACACCCTGAGTACTGTGGAGGTCCTCCCTCATACCCTGGGTACTGTGGAGGTCCTCCCTCATACCCTGGGTACTGGGCAGGCCCTCTCTCATACCCTGGGTACTGTGGAGGTCCTCTCTCATACCCTGGGTACTGTGGAGGTCCTCCTTCATACCCTGGGTACTGTGGAGGTCCTCCCTCATACCCCGGGTACTGTGGAGGTCCTCCTTCATACCCTGGGTACTGTGGAGGTCCTCACTCATACCCTGGGTACTGTGGAGGTCCTCCTTCATACCCTAGGTACT